ACTGAAAGGGAGCTAAAATACACAATGCTTTGGAGATAAAGACAGAAAAAGAGAGAGAATAACTTTTATAATAATAACCATATCTGTCTTTCAAACTTAAAGCTGGGAGTGGGACCATTTAAAACCTTCCTTCTTCTCTGTTCTTATCTCTGTGCCTGCTTGCTCTTAGAAGCCCATTTAGAAGCAACATTGGCTTTCCTGGTTGCAGTGGTGGTGGAGCAGTGGGAGGCCAGCTGCCGTGTTTCAGAATGTATTGCCTGGTTACAGGCTAAAGGTTATCCCTGCTTCTAGGATGGGGCAATTGATTCTGGTTCTCATTCCTTTTCTCCTGTGAAGCTGACCGCTCCTCCACTCTGCTCTGATTAAAGATTGATAATGTAGACCTCCCTCAACCCCACTAAGGATGCTAATCCAATCTCATTTGGATACTTAGAAGCAAAAATTTGCATTATAACCTAAATTTGGGAACTCCCAGCACAGGGAAATGCAATAACAGAGTTTGGGATACATAACTTTCTAGAAGCCTTTTTGCTCTGGCCAGCCTCATCGCCTACTGGCTTCAGACCCTCAGGGCACTGGTGGCTGGGCTCAGAGTGGGCACAAGACATCTCTCATGGAAGAACCTCACACGGTGTATCAGTCTACTAGGGCTGCCATAGCAAGATACCATAAAGTAGGTGGCTTAAACAACGGAAATTTATTTTTTCACAGTTCTGGAGGTTGGAAGTTCAAGATTAAGGTGTCAGTAAGTTTGATTTTCCAAAGGCCTCTCTCCATGCCTGGTGGATGGCTGCCTTCTCCCTGTGTCCTCACCTGGTATTTTCTCTGTGGTACACATCCCTGGTGTCTCTGTGTGTCCTAATCTCTTCTCACAAGGACACCAATCACATTGGATTAGGGCCAACTCGAATAGTTTCATTTTAACTTAATTACATCTTTAAAGGCCTTATCTCCAAGTACAGTCAAATTCTGAGGTATTGGGGGTTAGGGCTTCACCATATGAACATCAAGGGGGGCACAATTCAGCCCATCACACCCAACAATCAGTGACAACACTCACATCTTTAAACTGGGAAGGGGGAGAGGAATGGGGGAGAGAAAATGTACCC